TCTTCACAAAATAATTATAATATAAAGGTAAAACAATAAGAAAGATTTCTACTACAAACCTGATAAATTTTTCCCTGTTTTTATTATTGGTCTTTCAAAGTTTCTTATATTTATTGGTTTAAACTTTGACTTATAAAAATGGAATCATTTATTTCATGAATATTATGCATTAGATTCACTCAATAAATATTTGTTTAGTTCCTACACTATGCAAGGTACTGTCTTAGGCACTGGTTACAACATTTCTGTCCTAATGGGATTACATTCTAACTAAAAGTTATAAAAATGAACAATTAAATAAGTAATTTTAAATAGTATGAGGGAAAAAATACAGGAAAATAGAGGGAAAAATAGAGGAAAATAGTGCGAATCTCAAAAGAAAGGTCAGGAATGGTTTTAGATTTGAAGAAAACCTGATGTGAGAGAGTAAGCCATTCAGATACCTTGAAGAGGGGGATCCAGGCATAAGAAATAGCAACTTCAAAGGCCTTGGAGGCAGGCCACACCCTCATTTAAAATGAACTACCTCCTGTAAGTCCCAGGTCCAAAAGCCACCTGCTAAGTTTGAATGTTAGTGTACCTCTTCATTCCTTCTGTTGAAATCCAAATTCCCCAAATAATGGTATGAGGAGAAAATCTCCTTTAGAATATGATAAATTATGAAAGCAGTCTTCATGAATGAGATTAATGCTCTCATAGAAGAAGCCCATGTTCTCTTCTACCATGTGAGGACAGGGTAAAAAGATGTTGTCAATGAACTAGTAATCAGGCCCTAGAAGATAAATTAGATAAATAAGAAATCATATTTATATTAATAGATGATGTGAAAAAAACTATAAGAATGGAGGTTTGTGAGGAGATATGACCACAAGTTTACTTTTAAATGTAGTTAAGCTTAAGGTACATACATGTTAGCTATTAAGATGAAAATATTGAGTGGATAGTGCTAGACAAGCCAGAGCCCCAGTTGCCGACCTGTCTTTGGAGAATATGAAGCCTTATTATCAGACAAGAAGTAAGTGAATTAAGGTTTATTAAGGAAACAAATGAAAGGACTGATGCTTGGGGGGCTATAATATTAAACAATTCAAAAAAAAGAAGACAAAATTAGCAAAGAAAATGAAGAAGACAGGAGAGAAACCAGGCTGGGATACTCTAAGCTGAATGAAGACTTTTTTTTTTTTTAAATTAGCTACACATGACAGTACAATGATCTTGACATTTTATAGAGAAAGAAATGACCAACTTGAGAATTGGAAAAAAATCCAAATATTCATCCTTTGGTATTTGGATAAACAGAATATCATATGTCCATACAATGAAATACTAATCAGCAACATAAAGTAAAAATATCAATAAATGCCATGATGGATGAATCTCAGAAAAAAATACACTAAAAGAACACACACATACAGAGAGAGAGAGAGAGAGAGAGAGAAAGAGAGAGACTAAAATTTCTAGAAAAGATAAAGACTACAGACAGAAAGTGGACCAGTAATCACTTAGAGACATGATTGGGAGAGGGATTTAAAGACTTTTTGCAATTATGGAACTATTCTAAGACTGTTTTGGGGGGGATTGTGGCACAACTGTCTACATTTAATAAAAATCATTGAACTACACATCTAAAATGGGTGAAATTTATGAGATATGATTGCATCTCAATAAATCTTTCCAAGACAGATATGGAGGTAGAGTGATGGAGAGAGGCTAGAGGCTGGAGAGAGAGGGGTGGGCAGAAATAGAGAGAGAGAGAGAGAGAATATGAATGGGATTATGAATATGAATGGGATTAGGAGAATGGGGAATTGAATAGAGTTTATACTGGCAAAAGTTTTCAGGAGCTTCACTGTAAAGGAGAGCAGAAAATTGAGGTAGGGGCTAAAAGAGAACATGGATCCAGAGAGTTTTGCTTCATTTTGTTTGTAGATGAAGGAAAACACAGCATATTTCATGGTGATGGGGATAATACAAAAAAGAAAAAAAAAATCTCTGGTAATAATGCAAAAGAAGGAAGGGAGACCTGCTAAAGTGATTTCTGTAAGTAGGAAAAAGGAAGATGAGCTACTGTACAAAAGTTGAGGAACTGGCTTTAAAAGTGTCAATACATAGTATACTGAAAAGAAGGGAACAGAATATGGCTGTTAATATTATTGGGCATTTGCTGCGGTGAATAGGTGTTGTAGAAGGATCTTCTGATTCTTTTCCAAAGTAAAATAGGATGCAGAGTTATCTGATGAAAATAAGGAGGCATAAGACACATTCAAGATTTAGCAAAAGTATAGTAAAAAGAATAGATGTTTTTGAAATTTCTTGTCTGCATTAGGAATGCTTGAAGTTTACAGTTTGGCTTTTAAATTGAGATTAGTCTGTATTGTAAGTATTTTGTTGTTGTGTTTTAATATTTTTAACAATTATTAAACTGAATAGGTTCAGGCATAAGATAAGAGTTGGATATACATAAGAGTTGGATATACACTAGAATTAGGGTTTTGCCAACTATCAAGTAAATGTGATGAAGCAAAGAAAGAATAAAAACAATTGAGGTTGAATGTAAGAAAATGATAAAAATTGAAAGAGAATGAGAATCAGAGGAGGAAAAAGTATAATGAAAGAGGACAGTATTCATGAATTGTTCATTCTAATGAAATTAAAGGTCCCCTGGAATCAGGGTACTGCAAAGAGTGAGCAAAATATAGTAGGCACTGGTCTGATAAAAAGGATGTTTGTGAGTACTGCAGTTATTACAGCTACTGGTAATAACAAAGCAAATATCTAAGGTTACTAAGATCACCAGTTATCTTGCCTTACATATATTTACCTCAATGAGAAATCATATCATTATCTCAAAATTTTAACGTGTATTCTTAGCTCATATTTATTTTATAACATATGCAATAATTGTATTATTTCCTACCAGAAATCTCCATATAGTTTTTTCCTGTCAATTGGATATTTTATCTATGTGTAATCTTACAATTTTGCTTTCTACATCATTCTCTCCCATTTTACTTTTTGTTTAAAGACAAGTTCAAAGAGTATTGCAATGTAGATTTTATCTCAGATGATCTTGCTTGTTCCCACAGGGGTCACTCCATGTTGTTAACTCCTGTCAGTCTGTTGATGAATTCATTCATTCTTTGTAGAGCCCACTGTGTTCTCCTCCTCCTCCTTTTTGTAATCTCTAACAGTTATCCTTCTAATAATATTCTCCAAATCAAATCTAATAATCAACATTAGAAATCATCTAGATGATTTTCCTAAACTACGATCTTATGAGATAAAAAGCTAAAACATACGTCGCTTTCATAGAAAGTAAATGTGGATTTAGGTGCAGGTGAGACTATGTGTTTATTGTAAACTCACAAATTGCTCCCAAAATTTGGAATAACTAAATTGATACATAGGATTTGGGTAGGTACAACTAAGAAATTACTCCCAATTGTGATTTTGAGTATCAAAGCAAAATGTTTTCAAACATTTTTTTTCCTTATTGAAATGTGGTATACTTTACTTTCACTTAACAACAACATAGAGCATTAGAAAGAGGGTCAGCTAAAGGGTGAGAACCCTTAAGAAAATAAATGTAGGTTCTTTTGTTATTTTTGTTAAGAATTATCTATGCTAAAATTCTAAATGAACTCCTTTAATAAATGGATAATATAATCTACAAAATGGTTGTCACACTAAAACACAAAACAAAACAAAACAAAACAACAACAACAAAAAACTTGCTGATATATCAGGACCCTGGATTCTTTTTCCAGTGGTTGATTGGGGCTTTGTTATTTATGTTTCTTTCTAGTTAATTGATGTTGGCCACTCTGAAGTTGTGCTATGGGAAAACCAGATTGAGGTATGAAGAGGTACTGATCTCAAATTATAGGATTTCAACAGATGAATATGGTTAGCTGTGAGTTGGTAAATAATCAGAATACAGGTTAGCACTCTTTTTCCATAAGCCTTGGGAAGTACTTACCTATTTCTCTGATTTTATAAGACCTGAAGCATAAAAGGGGAAAAAAGAAAACCTAGTTTTGTTTGAAACTCAAAAAAGTACTTAGTAGTTTTTGTTCCATTATGGCAAAAAATATCATAAACAACCAAGTATCCAGCTTATCTTCTGAAACAAGATGCACATTGACATTCAGTTAGCTCAACTTGCACTTCAAATGATTTTGAAAGTTTTCATTCTCTCAGTTTATCGCTGGCCTGGTGTACTAGGCAATAGATTCCTCATTGATGGCAGGCAGAAGCAGCACTGTGACTGACAGTCAACAGTTAGAATGGCAATAAAACAAGTTTATCATAAGGAGCTTAGACTCATAACCAATGGTATGTAGAGCATAGATTCTTTAATTAATCATCTGGTACTGTGATATATATCAAGTAAACCATGCACATTTCACCTGGAATGTTCCCCTGTCAATACACTGTCTAAAAGAATGAACAAAGAAAAACAGAGCAGCATCAATATAGAATGGGATCCTACTGTACCTGGTGAATGAGGCGGAGGAGAGCACATCAGAACAACCCCCTGGCCTTCCCTCACAGAGACTGCACTTCTTGTCCGGCCACTAAAATTTCCCAGATCTGTCAACATAACATAGCATTCAGATGCAAGTCAATCATAAATTTTAAAAAATCACTACTATTATAATTTACATTTATTTTTCTATCATCATCCTGACAAGGTATTTTGTTTGTTTTGCAATGACAGAACAGTCTTGTTAATGAATCTATATCATCCAATTCTGAATACCACAGTTTATATTCTATATATTCAAAACCCCTCACATTCTTTATCTTTATCGCACATACAAGTTGCCAGTGTAGAATCTAGATAATACAACATTTTAATCATATCAAATAGTTATTTTATTTCTTACCAATATTTTTTGTATATTGATCTTTTGACTGGTAAAAACCTTTCATTCAAAGTGAGAAGATAAACATGAGGTGGTTATAGCACCTGCTATCCAATCTGTGGCCTCATCATATGTAATGTTAAGGATGGTGTGTGAAACCAAGCATGGACTTGCCAAATTAGAGACTTGTAGGCTCTATCAAAATATAACGAGGATATGAAGTGGTCTAGCCTAAAATGAAGTCTACAAATTAATTGTCTCATCCATTTTGATTAGCCTGGGACTATTACAGGTACTGAAACACTTGTGTGTATGAGGAGTATAGCACTGGGTTCACTTACCTGCCTTTGTACTATGCTGCATTTGCACAATTTGGAAAGAACTTCATAAAAATAAAGTGCCTCATAGGGGATGATATATTATTGCTTACTAATCTAATCATAACTCATAATGTATATCTTTTTCCTTCTCTTGATCTACTTCAATCAAATGCATGAATTTTAGAATAGTGCTTTGTAAATTGTGGAGTTCAAATTTCTATAAATAAATATATTCCAGAATTCTAAGTCTCTAAAATCAGGTTTCCATGGTGAGAAATGCTTCTTGAAAATGTTCAGCCATTCCTCCTATTATACATAAATTGTATAAGAGACTTTTAAAAATCATTTAATTATTCCATGTTAAAATACTACTTTGCAGCAATATAAGTTAGTCTCAATTTAATGTTTATTAACCTGATAAACCATAAAATTAATCAAGAAAATATATTTGATGGATATGAAGAAGATAAATCACTAGCATTAAATAGTCTAATAGAAACCTTCTGTAATTTTTTTTTCTAAGAAAGGGGCAACAATTATTTGTTGAATTTATAATCAGATCTTAAATTCATCAAGAGTGAATATAAGATGCCAAAATAATACTTAGAAAGATATTCATTGTTTGAGAATGTTTTAGGATTTTGTATAAAATTCTACAATTTATGGAAAATAGGTATGTGTTTTACAAAGAAGCAAGACAAAACAAAGAATAATCCTAGTTCTACTTTTGTTGGGGAAAAATAGCCTTATTTAAAAATATACAAATTAACTTTAATTTTTTTTAGTTATAGATGAACACAATACCTTTATCTTATTATTTATATATTTTTATGTGGTTCTGAGGATGGAACCCAGTGCTTCACACACGCTTGGCAAGCACTCCACCACTAAACTATAGCCTCAGACCCACATTAACTTTTGTAGTAAGCATCATATGCATTGATTCTTTGGGATAGAGACTATCTTTTTTTTTTTGTCCAGAAAATGATTTCAATATGAAGATAAAGCATGACAAGTTTTCCAGTTTGACTTTCTTTAACTCACTCCTAGAATTATAACACAGAATCATATAATGAGGCAATGGGTGTTACAGGACTTTAATATCTCTTCAGGGATTGTCTGGTTTTTCTTTCTTGTTCCTCCTCATTGAATTTATAAATCTTGGGGAAGACTACTTGGATATTAATTTATTTTAACTGAACTTAACTGGTTTCTAAAAATATATATGTATTCCAATACAATTACTAATACATGCATGTAGTATATATATTATGACATCAAACCAATCTACTGTATTTAAAAAATATTTTAATAGAAAACAGTCCTAAAGTAATGCCCACTTTTGGGAAACTGAAGTACACTGAACACACAGAAAAAGAAACAATTCTAGAATAATTATGACCTGAATTATGTTTTGAGATCTAAGTTATTCAAAAGGTCACATTCAACTATAATTGCTTTATTTTGTATCAACAGTCAATACAAGTACAATTCAAGACTTTCTCTAGGATTGTTTCTGGGTCATTATTTCCTAGGAATTATTGCACCCAAAATTTCAAAATAAATGAATATTTTTCAAATGTGAACAGAACTTTTTGCTTACATAAAGCCACACAGCAATAATACAAAGAAGTTAATACTTTTATGAAGAGTTGTTAACTACTTACTAGGGAGAAAAAGTGACACTCTTTTTCTATAATGTATAAGTGGTTTTCATGCCTGGCAAGATTGTAGTTAACCTAAGGCATAATTTTTATGTGAAAAAATTCCTAGTTGGTGTAGGCATGGTGGCTTGATTAAATACGGGAAAACTCAGCTACTTGTTTATATCTCATTGTGAATAGAAAACCTCTTTTGATATGCTTTTCAGAGGAAATAGAAAGCAGCCTAGGTATACATGCAGTTTGGATGCTTACAGTATCTTCTTAGTAGATATATATTTTATGTATCAGAGAAATGAAAACAAGAATAAGTTTTTGAATGCAGTCTTTTTATTACAATTTACACAAGGCCAAAAATGTGTGTTCCTGGGGGGG